GGGGGAGCGCAGGCAGAGGTCGGCTCAGAGGCAGCCGGTGATGCTCTGGTTTGGGCTGCCTTGCAGAGAAACGTGAAGCGCAACGGAAGCAGGAGCTGCTTGAACAGGAGTCGGTTCGGTTCCCGTGAGAGAGACTGGCTGAAGGAGGACGTCAGGCGAGGCTGCGTGTACGTCTACGGAAGAGATTCTGCAGCTACTGCTTCTTCAGACTTGCACTTGGTTCTCTGTACAGTGGACACCCCAGCATCTGAGATATGTGATGGAGAAGGAAAGAAGAACCTCTTTTTGCAACTTCATGGAGACCTCATCAGGTGAGGGCTGAGAAAGGATAAATCTGAGAAAAATCTGCTTTGGTTTTGCAGCTCTCTTCACTGAGTGCCAGCGTGTGTTAGCAGGTCAGATATGGAACAGGCAGAGGTTATATGCAGCCTCAAGTAATGCAATTCATAAAAGCGAACTAGTGATGTGCCTTCTACACTTCTCTTAGTTCAGGCATAGGTGGTTTGGCTGGGAGGGTTTGGCTGGTGCTCCAACCAGAAGTACATCCTCATTTGGTAGGTGCAGGCCACTGTTCAAATACTCCTTTATTATGTTCTGTGTGATGGACATTTTAGCATCCAGAAAACTTAAGCTATTTAAGAAGCTGTACCCAGTTATTCTGAGTCAGTGAAACAGGTAAGGTACTTAACTAGCTGTCACGTAATATTTACGTGTTAATAATTTTTTTGCTAAGAAGAGTTGCCAGGTAAATAATTAAAGGTAGACAGAAAGATCATGTAGTAAGGGTTATATAAAGAAGGCTTAACCATAAGATTATGTGTTTTATGCCTGCAGTCGATTTAGGCTGAAAATAGACAGCTCGGGCTTCAATGTGCATGAACTTTACACTGTGGGTATGTTACGGACTCCGTCAGGTTGACAAGCTCCTGTTAGGTTTTTTACGTTAGACTTTGCATTGATTCTTCTGGACTTAAGATTCAGTTATAAAGTTGCCACTCCTGTTCTCAGGAGTGAAAAAAATTGCTGTGATCTCCTTCCTTGCAGGTTGAGCAGTAGAGACAACACATGTGAGCAGGACTAGTAGCTGGTTTTTTGATAGTGAAATGAAAGTCATAAATTGCATGTGTCCAAGTTTTAAAAACATGGCGTGTGTTTGATCAGGTAGAGGGAGGGAGTGCTAGTTGCAAGAGACATGGAGAATAGGATGTGGTTAAAACTGGCTATTGAAAAAAG